TCTCCCATTCTGTAGGTTGCCCGTTCACTCTGATGGAGTTTCTTTGCTGTGCAGAAGCTCTTTAGTTTAATTAGATCCATTTGTCAATTTTGGCTTTTGTTAGTTCTGTGAAGAAAGTCAATGGTAGTTTGATGGGAATAGTATTGAATCTATCGATTACTTCGGGCAGTATGACTATTTTCATGGTATTGATTCTTCCTGTCCACGAGCATGGGATTGTATTTTCTGTACAGGGGGGGTTTGCTATGTTGCCTGGGCTAGTCTCAAACTTCTGGACTCAAGCAACCCTTCCTCTTTTGGCTCCAGAGTTGCTGGGACTACAGGTGAGCCACCATGCCTTGCTAAATTAATGAATTTTAAACACATTTGACATGTTTTAATCCACTGAAGCCATTTTTTTTTCTTTTCGATGCACACATTATCCCCTTTGAAGTCTTTTTAAATTAGCTGCTGTGTCCTTTTGACATCATAACAGATGATATTCATAATGGATAAATCACCATTATTAAGTTTTTCATTAATCTGTGACCTAATGATTTTTGCAGCCATCGATGATTGCTGTCTGCAGCCATGTTTTCATCAGGTTCTGTATTTCTTAGAAGGAAAATTCCAACTATTTGGTCATGGTGAAGTCTAGTTTGTTCAGTAAAGGCAAGCTAACTTGATTCATTCCCTTTATATGTACATGTTTTCAAAAAATAAGTTTATTCCCTAGCATTGTCCAGTGTTGACCAGCAAGGGTTATTTGTTCTCCTTAAGTGTTATTATGAACTAATGAATTTTAAACATATATGAGTGTTTTAATTTGCTGCAGCCATTATTCTTTTTGATGCCCAGCTTATACTCTTTGGAAGTCTTTTTAAGTTGTTGCTCTGCCCTTTTGATGTGATTCCAGTAGTCTGATAGCTTCCTTGTTTTCTGGTGTCACAAGATGTTCCGTGCTCATCTGCATTTCCTACCCTAATCCTGGAAGAGTTATTTCTCCAAGCTGTAGTTCTTTTTAGTGGCAAGAGGTATTTAGATACCAGACTTTGGGTTCTAGGGTTGTATATAGCTATTGATTTAGTCTTTGCTTCTAGGTTATGGAATGTCTAATGGATAGGGTTAGGAAATACTAATTTTATTTTCTAATAATGCTATACTGAGATACCATTTACATACAGTAAAAATGCACAAGTGCTGTGTGGAGTTTGGTAAATTTTGACATATGTATACACGCATGTAACCTGAATCACCCTCATCAAGATTGGCTGATCAAACTAGCATGAATCAGATATTTCACCTAGAATCAAGCTCTACCAATAATTTCAGGGACACAGTTGGTAACAAAGAGATTCCTTTGTTCCAGAGCAGGTGCCCCAGTCTCTGACCAGAGGCTAGAATGTCTGCTGTGGCTACTGTTGCCAGGCATCAAACAATGTCTCTAAACTCTCATAAGGGTGCCATCTGTAGGACTGTGACTAGAGAGGGTGGGGCCCCTCTCAGGTGAGCAGTGTTGGTATGAAGCAGTGGGGGAGTGTGTTCTACTCAAGTCTTAAGTCTCACAGCAGCCTATAGCAGAGCTTTGGGTGTTGTTGCAGGTGTGCATAGGAGAGCCTGGCTTTTCTGCCCCTTCTTGGCTGGGCAGTAGCTGCAGTCAGCCTTAACTCAAGCCAAAGTTGGGGCACAGCTCAGAATTAAACTCTCAAAATGACAGTTTTGGCCTGTGCCCTGGGATACTAGGGCACCACCCAGGCGAGCAACATGGGCAAAAAACTGTGGGAAGTGTAGTCTGATTGTGTCTCAGTTTCACAGCAGCCCATTGCAGGGTGGTGGGTATTCTATAGATATGTGTGGGGTAGCCTGGTTTCCCTGTTGGTCCTTTGCTGGGCAGTGACTGGGGCCATGTCAGCCCCAACTCAGGCCAAGGACAGGACTCAGCCCAGTATTGAACTCAGAAAATGGTGTCTTGGGCATGGGGCTAGAGAGAATGGGGCACCACCCAGCCAAGCAGCATGAGCAAGAAGGTGTAGGGAGTGTGATCTACTTATGTTTCAGTCTCAACAGCAGCTTGTAGCAGATGACAAGTATCCTCCTGGGGGTGCATGGGCATGCTTGTTCTCCTTCTCCTTTTTTGGAGCAGTACAGTGGCTGCAGCCATGTCTATAGGTCCCTGGTATCTAAACTCTTAAAGTAGCTCCCTGCTGAG